AAACAAATATCATAAGATATCTAACAAACATTATGGGAATATTTTTCATAATTTTATTCATGTCCTCTATTTAGAAAATAGAATTAAAAGAATAAAGACAAATAATGATTAATTTACAGCTCCACCAATTATAATTTAATTCAACTAAAGAAAATATGATATCAAAGTTTACAATTTTACGCTCTATTTCTCTCTTTTCTTTTTATTCTTGATGATATCTTATTATCTCTCTTTTGCGACATAATTTTTATCTAATTTTAGAAAATATATTTTAAGTCTTTTTTAACTGTATGTAGAATTCTAGTTATATATTCGTAATTTATACAATCATCTATTATATTGTCGAGGCAACTATACTACAACATAAAATTTTTGTTCATAAAAAGATTTTGAAAAATGTATTATTTTCTTATGATTTTCTTATGTCAAATTGAGAAAAACTATGCTTTTTTTTTTCAATATTATTGAACTTATTGTGATTGTCTTGATGTGTTAAAAAAAGTAATACATATGAGAAAGTTGACAAATTAAGAAAAGTATACTTTATAAATTGTAATGACATTATGTTGTTTTGATGCAATACTTTTTGTATTAATTAGATAGTGCTCTTAACATGAAATTATTTTGAATTCGCCACTGCAGCTAGTTTTTCAATGGAACTTTCATTGTTTTTCCCAATTTCGGTGACAATTCTTTTAATGGTTGAAATATGGCCGAAAAAAAAATCCAACATAAATTCACACAAAAATATTAGTAATTGAGATATTAAATCCACAAAAATTTCAATGTAATTTAATTTACTCACCATTGGAATAGCCAGTGAATCTTTTCAATAGAAACTATACCAATGAAATATTTGTTGGTATTTTCTGTGGAATACCTTACTGTTGGATTTTTCATTATAATATGGAATTTTTGTATTCTTTCATAATCATTAAAATGTTTATGTAGTAATTTTTTGTTTATTAATTGTGTTCATAATTTTTATTTTAAAATATATTAAAACATCTACTTTTTAGTCCATATAATTTTCTTACAAGTCACTCATTATTTTATATTGAGATTACCTATTAATTTCTCAATTGAATTACTTTCCCTACATATTAATGGAAATAAGTATTATTTTTATATGCAATATAATATTTATATATTATATTAAAAAAGCTAATAGCAAATAAAAAATTATTTAAATTTACAATAATCAATTTATTTTTAAAAAAATTAAAATCTCAAACCTACATAGATTAAAGTACAAATAACTATTGTCAATAACCTAAAACTTACACCTATAATTAATAAGCACAAAAAAAGTAGCAATCGTACTCGTTTACATCGATATGTACAAGTTTTAAAAGTTTTATATTTATATTTATTAATTATAACATTTTTAGTTATTACTTTTTTTCATATGTATTAATAAGTATTACAACTTAATTATATTTTTAATATTATGTATCAGATTTAATATTTTCTTACTTTATATTGTTCTTAACTTTTAAATTTGTTAAAAAAAATGCATAATACTAAGTATATAACTTTTTTTGGTCATATGTCTTATTATATCTATTATAGTTGTACATCTTTATATTATATTATGTATAATTACAATTTTCTAATTAATATTATTATCAAATATTAAAAAAAGATATTTTGTACATTTTTTTAATAAAGTTGATTTATTGTAATAATACATATTAATAGATAGGTGAGTAATGGTACTATATCGATATAAATTCTTGGTAAAAATAATTAATTTTCAACGTATATAAGCATATCATGATTCACTATATATTTTTAATTAATTTGAAGATAATGATGGATAAAAGTACAAATAACTATTGTCTATCACCTAAAACTTACACTTAGAATTAATAAGAACAAAAAATTAACAAGCGTTTAATAACACCTGAATTGCGTTAAGAAATTGAATCCACCAAAAAGCCAATATTAGCTCTCTTAATTCCTCTAATAGTGACTCAACTCGTTTACATCGATAAGTACAAGTTTTAAAAGTTATATCTTTATTTTTATTATCTATAACATTTTAATGTTACCTTTTAATATTTATTAATAAGTGTTACAACTTAAACGGATTTTTAATATTATTTGTCAAATTTAATATTTTTTTCCTTTATATTGTTATTTTATATGTTTATATATGTGTATACATACATACATATATATATATATATATAACTTTTATATTTGTTAAAGAATACATAAAATTAAGTATGGAACCTTTTAGGTCATATGTCTTATTATATATCAATTAATTGTACATCGTTCTATTTTATTATATATAATTACAATTTTTTCATTCATTACATGAAAATAAATAGGTTGGGTTTAGTATTATACATTTTCATAAAATTATTCTAACCTTATTTTAAGCAAAGAAATTGGGTTGATTAGAAGTTTCGATTGCAAAACAATCATTCAACAATTAATCTCTCATACTATTACACAAATTATTACTTTTTATAGGTTATTTTGAAAGAAAAAAACTGTTTCTTTACTTTATGGGTGTTATGAGGACAACATTATGGATTTCAATTTTATTACTTATAGTTATTAATAATAGATGAGTAATGGTGATATATGATATAATTATTGGTAAAAATAAATAATTTTCTGCGTATAGGCATATCACGATTCTTTAGATATCTTAATTAATTCGTAGAAAATTGTATGATCAAAATAAAATCATGCTGCTCAACTAATATCCCATTCGACATGAAAAAAATGGGACCGGGTTTTAGTATTATATAATTTCATAAAATTATTCTAATCTTATTTTACGTAAAGAAATTGAGTAGATTAGAAGTTTAGGTTGCAAAATAATTATTCAAAAAATTATATCTCATATTATTACATAATTTATTCTTTTTTTTATATGTTATTTTGAAAAAAAAAATATTTATATAGTTTGTGGTCGTTATGAGGACAAACAACATCGATTTTAAATATTTTACTTATAGTTATTAATAAACTTGTAAAATTAAATAAATATTGTTGAAACAGTTATCTTATTTGATAGGATACTTACGGTTAAATAAACTCTTAAATTTTATTGAGAAAATCATAAAAGTATTTAAGAATCTTGAATAATATCAATAAATAAAATATTTTATTTATTAAATTTTGAATTATAATCGTTTATAGAGCACTCAACTTGAAAATTAATTGCTCAAATAAAATAATAATAATAATAGTTAAAATATCAGGAACATTTTTATTAATAATTGAATGAAAAATTTCAAATAATTTAAGTCTTAATAATTAAAAAAATTACTCAACTTGATATTAATCACCTAATGGTCACGTGAAGATTCGTTAACTCTATTAGCTTTGCGACCAAAATTTGAAAATACAAACCACTAAACAATGACGATTTTTGTGGGATCAAAATTCAATCTAATAAAACTAAGGTGCAATCTAATTCTAGTTCTAAATACAAGAGTTTATTTTTCTTAAATAATGATCTAGTTAAATGAATTCTTCCATTTTTCTAGTTTGTTAGATTATGTATATATTCCACGTGTGCATGATTTCGGTAATATTTTGGTGTCTTCTCTTAATTAAAGTTATGTATGTATCTTGGAAGTTATTTATTATATAAAATTCACCTCTCAACTAAGTTATCATGTTTTACCAAGATTTATCGTTTTGTTAAAACATAGGTAAACAAATAGTTGAAAATATTTAGATCTTTTATAAGTATTTACTATGTTGTTTTTGTTGCATAATTTTTTGTTTAAATAAATTTTATATATTAAAATCATTAAATATTATTACGATTTTAGCATCAAAATTATATTAAAAATAAGGACGTTATTCAAAACAAAAATTCAATATCATTTCAAAACTTTGTTGTTTGGGTTAATGTTGAGTTGATTCTTTAGAGATATTGAAGAAAACGGTTTGGGAGATATGTGGAAGAAACCAAATTCTTGAAGAATAATGGTGTGAATATTGTGGTTGATTTTTAAGAGATGTGGAATGTTTTGTTCATTTAATTGTATTAAATGAATAAAATATTAAATGAGAATTAGTGTATTACTAATTTGAGATTAAAAATATGTCAAATAAAGGGGATTTTAGGTAAATATTAGTTATTAATAAAAAAAATATAAGATGGGATATATATTATGTTATTACTAATTTTCCATTAAAAATATACCAAAGTAAGGGTATATTAGTTAGTTCTTTCTTTTACAAGAACACTCGTCCTTTTATAGTAGTATTTTGAGTTACCATTTTAGTTAGCACAACATTTATACATAGAATATAATACAACATTTAGACTAAATATTACATAAGATTATTTTGTAGATATTGTTTACAAGAACCAATTTGTTTTGGTGGACTTTTGTGGAAGAGTTATTTTTTTTCCAACAGCTACTTAGCTAAGAGAATCATAACAATTTCTTCAAAGACCACATCAATCTCCATCATTTTTAGTAAAATTTAGAACTATTTGAGTCATACTTTGGGCGTGTATCGTAATAGTTTTCAATGTTACGCCGTTATTTATTTAATTAAATATTAGCGATTAACTAAAAAATATATGATTTGAAGAGTATTAGTGTATTACTAATTTGCCATTAAAATTAAGTCAAAGTAAGGGTTTTTTAGGTAGTTCATTTACTAATTAAAAATATAAAATAAGATGGGTATTACTGTATTACTAATTTGCCATTAAAAATATGTCAAAGTAAGGGTTTTTTAGGCAGATCATTATTTTTACAAAATCACTCATCCTTTTATAATAGTATAGATATTTACATATTACCATAGGGATAACTTTTTACTATGCCTTTAGCACGAGTGTAAAAGCTAAATTAATTGCCATACTGGCTAGTAGCTGTATATATAATATAGCGGCAGGGACCATTCATGGATTCATCCAGTAGAAAAGAATCTGACCACACACATACATATATACGAAAGCACAATCTTTTTATTTTATTTAATTTTATTTAATTTCGAGGATAGATGAAATGATGATGAATCCCCTTAGTAAGTACTCATCGGCCGCCCTGGTTGTTCTCATTGCATTACTACTAATTCCCCTTGTCCCATTGTCCTCCTCATCGACCAGTTTTACCATGGAACTAATCGATCCGGCCAACCCTAAACACCCTTCTTATCACCCTTCTCAACTTCACAACACCCTCCCACCCATCAACACACCTGTACAAACCGTGGGGTGGCAGTATTATGTGAGCTTCTCGGTGGGCTCCCAGGCCGTCCAACTCCTCGCAGCCATGGACCTCACCACCGACTTCACGTGGGTACAGTGCAACCCCTGCAACCCCTGTGCCCCACTCCCCAATGGTGACCACGACTTCGAGCACCGAAATTCTAAGACGTACCGCACTGTACCCTGCGGCGGCCGCCACCACAATCCGTGCCTGTCGCCGTCGCCAGGCCACGCCAGCTGCAGCAGCCTGACGTGCAAATACTCTGTTTCGTATGCCAATGGCTGGTCCGGTGGAATTCTCTCCACCGACATGTTCAAGCTGGACAACAAAATGACCCCTCGCCTAATCCACTTTGGTTGCGGGAACGCAAACACGGGGCTGTCCGGTGTGGTCGGCCTCGGGGAGGGGAGTGCCTCCATCGTGGGGCAACTGCAGATGAGGACGTTTTCGTACTCGTTGGTGCCCAACTCAGCCACTCTCACCTTTGGAGGGCCCACCGAGTGGGGCCGTGGGACCGTCACCCTCCCTACGGTACCAATGCCCAAAAACGGCGCCTACTACCTCAACCTCACAGGAGTCAGCTTTGGGAATACGCTCCTACAGGCATCCCCAGCACTAATGCTCGTGAACCCGCAGACGATAGTCACCAGGCTTCCCTCTGCCATCTACCTTCCTCTCAAACGTAAGGTGTATACCTTGCTCCATAAACGTCTGACCCAAACGCGAGATCCAACAAGTGTATTTGAGCTGTGCTATCTTGCCACACCACAAGAAGAGAAGAAATACTTACCTGCAACAATCACTCTACACTTCCAGGGTGGGGATGTGAGTCTGCCTAGGGATAACATGTTCGCTAGACTCCAAGGTAATAATAATAATAATAATAATGTAATGTGCTTGGCGGCCCTGCAGGCACAACAAAACGCCGATGCAGTCTATGGTAGCTTTGCGCAGACAAACTTCCGTGTGGGATTCAATCTAGACAAAAGGACCATCTCATTTACGCCACCAAGGATATAGAGTTGATCGATGATTGTCAATTTTAAGTGTCGTATCTAGTCTCTTTCACAAGTATTTTAATTTTACTTTGTGTCGCAAACTTATGTTTTTATTGTGTATCTACCACTGTCCTGCCTGCCTTACTGTGTCATTTTTCTTCCGTAACAAAAGTTTTGTGCTGTCTGAGACGTTGCATAGCCCTATCTTTCTTTTCATGTCCTGTCATGTCATACATATTTCCTTTGACCCCACCGGTATAGCCTGAGGCATGTTCCAAAATGAATGAATGACGAATCTTATCAAGTAGGAGAGAAGTAACATAATAATAATTGTTAATTTGAATCGAATTAATATGTGGGAATTTTCATTTTTTTTTTTTGTCCCAAATTTTACTTGCTTTGCATTTTAGAGCATCTCAATGATTGAATGTCTATTTTGAGATGAATGATGTGGAGAAAGTGAATAAAAATATTTTATTTCCAATGGTTAATTTTAATTATGGAATAATTTGATGTATGTAAGATAATAATTGGTTAGTGAAGAAAAAAAAAATATAAAATAAAAGATGTCTAGAAGTCTTTCTGCATCTAGAAAGACTTCTACATTTTTGAAATGCCACATTGAATTATTGGGGCTAGGTGACAATGGAATAGAGAAATTCATGGACCATTGAAGATGCTCGTAATAAGTCAAGTTTGAGATTAATCTATCATTATATAAAAAGAATAACTTTTTTACAATTTTAAAAATGTTTTCTCGTCAAATACATTTAATGTAGCCTATATATAGATTTTCGGACAATATTGATAAGGCCAAAAATCGCAGCTTAATTTGGATAGAATCTGTTTCTCTTATCCTGTTTTTAAAACTTATTTTTTTATCGCGAGCCTTTAATAACCTCCGGTGAATTTATAATTGTATAGATATGCACATGTACTGTTTGTTACATCTAAACTTCCTATTATGAAGTAATTTGTTCATTTCAAAATTCAATATCATTAATTAATATGAACTATGCACGTGTAAGATTAGCAGAATCTGTACCATAAATTATGATAATTTCCCTCAAAGCTCGGTGCTTTATTTTTTTTTTAAAAAAAAAATCGATTTCCTTCTCTCGATATGTATAAACTGAGTGGTTGAATATTTGGAAAGAATTCTATGTTGCATGGAACTCGAATAATAGAAATGTTATACAAATCAAATTGATCTTTTATTTTTTTACCTACCCAAAATAAAATCCATAAATCCGCCACAATAAATCCAATATGCTTTTGGTTTAAATTTAAACTTTCTGTTCAAAATACATTAAATTCGATTGTTCTCTTAATTCACGCTTGGAAAAATAATTCGCTTGCAACAATAAATCTGATAGGCTTTTGTTTTAAACAATCTGTTACAATCGTTTACAATCTCCACAAAATATCATCATCTGTATTATGCTTTTTAATATTGTTTGTTATCAGTCACAAAAAAGATCTGTGTAAATCAAATTCAAATTTTGATCGGCTGTTGATTCAATGACCATAAATTTGGATTCCTATTAGGAATTAAATTGTTAATTTACAAATACAACATAAAAAAAAAGTAATAATTTGGATTTTGGTTCCATACACCATTAAAGGATTGTACAAATATATACTTTTTATACATGTGATATAATATTTTAGATGTCTTTAATATATATATATATATATATATATATATATATATATATATATAGGGTCGCGCTCCGGTGAGAATGGTACTTAATGCGAGAAATAAGAATAAATCATATTCATCGGATCGGATGATCCAACGGTAAAAAAAAATCAGTATTTCTACATTCATTAAGAATATTAGAGACATTTACTCACACATCTACTATATTAATGGGCCCCACTTCCCAAGTAAAAATCACGCCATTACCCAGGTAACTCTTCCTCTCTCCCACTCTCTCTCTCTCACGCAGACACACACACATCAACGGTCACACACAAACCAGCACACATATACACGCACTTGAATCTGTCAAGTCCCGACGGCCACCGGCCACTTCATAGAGCACCGCCGCAGTCTGGTGCCGTTCGCCGCCAGCCGATACCCGAGAACGCCATCCGTCGACCAGAAATCCGACGACGAGAGGTCGTCTTCTCCGGCGACGCAAACCAGAAAAGCTTCCAGCCACACGTCATCTCAGCCTCCATCTTCACTGTCCCCATTCCAGACAACGGCGAGCAACTGCCACCGTCGGAGCGCCATCACGGTCGGATTCCGTCGCAGCCGTTCAATTGTTCAAATCGTCGTCTCCGGCGTTATCCTCCATCGTCAAGCTCGACATAAACATCCTTCGTTCAGATGCAG